TGGATCATTATTATTATGATGAGGATAAGTCCAATTCGGTATTGTGGTAAAGTCTTACGTAAATCAGATTATATTAAAACAGAAGGAGTTCATCAGCGAGTCTTCCGTTGGGGTATCGGTAATCGTTTCCGTTCAGCTAATGCAAATAGATATCAACCAGTTCATTTGGAGAGAATAAAGGAGGTACACGAGAGAGGCGATTAATCATCATCATCATCTGAAGTTCCACATTCGGGCTAGCACTGATTACTGATTGGAGTCCTTGTAGCAGTTTGTAATGAATGTATCGAAGTAAGCAATGAAGTAGTGGGTTATAGAGCCAGTAGTAGGTGGTAAGTAGGTAGCTATATGAATAGAGATATTAGATCTGCTGCTCGAACGTTATGTTCGGAACTTGTGCTGTTATTGAATGTAGACGATCGTAGTGTAATGAGATGTTACATTTAGACAGTTAGTGATAGGTAACACTGGATGATGACTATTACGACAGTCCAGATCCTAACATACGATGGGATGATTATTCTGAGTGTTGGGAAGTTTATTGGTATGAACATGAGAAACTCAATGCTAAGCCTTTCCCGGTAAGATGCTGGCAGCACGGATTGAACCCGAGACCTCTGAATAGGTAAAGAAGTTTGGTATCAAATGGTCAAAGGAGGAAGCCAAGAAGTTCTATGAAGAGTTGAAGGGTAGTGGTAGAGTCCATGCTCGTCCCTCTCATAAGAGTAGTAATGATTCTATTATGTGGGATGAGAGGATGCAGGGATGGGCAGTAAGTTATTGGCAGAATGGAAGGTCAGTCATCACAATGGCTACGACGACGACCGGCTAGGGAATAGATCCATCTTTAGACCCAGGACGGCTACGTACAGTGCTAGTAAGCATGGCTTCTATCGAGCTCATGACAAGGCTATGGAAGTATTTAGAGATAGTCAGAGTACGTATTGGAAGAGTGAGATGTGTTATGGTGATGAGGGGAAGCAGGGACAGCAGGGTTCACAACCGTTCGAACCTCTACCATGATGATGATGATCATTAATGTATTCCACCGTTTCCGAGCTTAATAGTGCTCTTGAGACACGGGGACATGTCACGGGGACACGAACGCATATACAAGGGACAG